CAAAATTTGTGGTAGTGGGGGACTGCGTTCGCGCTCTCCCCTGACTTTAAACATAACGACAGATTTTCTCAGTTTTGGTTTGGCTCTGCTGGTGTTGCTCCCGCTGCGGTTGGCGGCTCATCCCGCAATCCGTCTGCGCATGACGTTGTCTTGAACTTGCAAGAGGAAGCCTGCCCAAGGACAGGAGTGAGGCGTCCGTGTTAACCACTGACCCTTCGTATGCTATTTATTCAGATTGAGCAGCTGCAACAGCTAGGAAATGATACTGCAGAGTGTTGAAGACACCTAATCTTTAAATTTGATAAGTAATTTGAGAGTGAGTGTGCAGAAAACATTCCTGCTTTTGGATAACTCCAGAGGAAACGTTTACAATTGTTTCATGGGAAAGAACATACACTTGTGGAGGATTTTTTTTTACAGAAGTGTGGAACTTGCTGCGCATTATTTTGACAAAGTTTCATACATTCACGACGGAGAAGGGAATAATGGATTATAAACCGTGCCTTTGTGGGGGAGGTGATGGGAATATTTGTACTATCTGCAGCTCAGGAGATGTTTTGGGGCGCAGGTTAGAGTCCCACAGTGGCAGCATTTGAATTGTTGGGAAAAATTCAGAAATTAGGCTTTAGAGGTCAGATTTTTGAGTATCATTGGTTTTTAAAAAAAGGGTTATGGGAATAGTGTGGGTAAACAGGAGCAGATTTGTGTGGCGTATTGATACCAAAGTAGACCATTTTGCTTGTTTTTGTGTTTTGCCTTCAAATGGCTCTTATTTGCAGTGCAGAGGCTACTCCAATAGAGGGAGGCATTGATCCATCTGTTTGGGTCCGTGGACCTGAATGTGACTGGAGCCTACCTTATTACAGCATAAAGGATGATATGCGCTCCAGCTGCCGACGCAGCTGCAATGACTGCGTCCCAACATAGCAACGGGGGTAGTCCATTCTGCCCCACCATTCATTTAAGTCTTTTCGTCATTTATATCAATGGTTTGGATGTGAGTTCAGGAAGTATGGTTAGTAAGTTTGTAGACGACACCAAAATTGGTGATACTCTGGACATACTCTCCCCTGGGTTACGATCTCTCAATAGATCATTCTGTATTTGTCCAGCAGACTTGAGGGTGTGAGAGAAATTCTGCCAAATTTGCCACCATATTTGAGCTTTTGTTCACTCACCCCACAGATACCCCTTCCAAATATCACTCCCCTTTTCCACATTGTTCGACACTGCAGTAATTGCAATGTGATTGTCCCCACCCTACATAATTCCTATGCTGACCTGCAATTCCCTCCACACGTACACACATTTTCTCCACACATTTTCTCTCTGCCAGTTACTTCTTCCCCACAAATCCTAACTTTGCATTCTCTTCACTCAAGTAGTTTTTCCTAGCTCCTGTTTCAAAATACCACTTAGATCCGAGATCTGGGAAAAAATACATTCCGAATACAGCGTGTGCTGGAAATCTACTGCAAACATCAGAGACTGGGTGGAGAAACTCAGCTGACCCAGCAGCAAGCGAACTGAGAAACAGCGTTAATGTTTCGAGTGCAGTATGACTTCTTCATAACTGAAAGGTTTAGGAAAACACCTTATTTTAATTTTCTTTAGATACTGGTGGAGGAGGAGGGGTTTTGTTCGGTGTAGAGGCAAGAGACAAAGCGATTGTTAGTGAAAAAGAGACAAAAAATGGTTTTAAGTTAAGGTTTGACAGGGAGAGAATGTGTCCTCTCCAGTGATGACAAGGCAAACAAAACAAAAGACAAGTATGTATGGGGGAGCAGGGAGGGAGTCACAAGAAAAACAAGGTATGGCAAATCAGGACAAGATTTGTACAAGACTTGCTGGGGGAGGTGATTGTGTAGTGGTATTATCGCTGGACTGTTAATCCAGAGACCCAGATAATGTTCTGGGGACCCAGGTTTGAGCTCTGCCATGGCCGATGATGGAATTTGAATTCAATTAAAATATCTGGAATTAAAAGTCTAATGATGACTGTGAATCCATTGTCGCTTGTTGGAAAAATCCATCCGCTTCACTAATGTCCTTTAGCGGAGGAAACTGCCATCCTCACCTCGTCTGGCCTACATGTGACTCTGGAACCACAGCAATGTGGTTGGCTCCGAACTGCCCTCTGGGCCAATTAGGCATGGGCAATAAATGCTGTCTAGCCAGCGATGCCCTCATTCTGTGAATGAATAAAGGAAGAAAAAAGTAAGGGGAACAAAATATGGGTCCGAGTTGACCGGTCCTTGGACAGGGAAGTGTCATTGTACAAGGCATCGGTGGGACTGAACCTGGAGTTATTGAGTGAACCTACTTTGAACTGTCTCCAAATGGGAACCTGGGAACTAGATACTAAGCAGTATTCAATATGCAGTCTCACCAATGTATAATACAGTTCCCTGTGCAAGGTTTGGTCCACTGCATACAATTTTGGCCCCTTTACTTGAGGGACAATGCTATTACATTGGAGGCTGTTCAAAGTAGCTTCAATGAATTAATTCCAGGGGTGGAAGGCTTTTCTTATGAGGAGAGATTGAGCACCAGGGGCCCATACTGGCTTGAACTTAGAAGGATGAGAGGAGATCGGATTGAGATGCACAAGATGCTAAAGGGGATTCACCAAGGAGACAGAGCCTGGATATATCCTCTTGGGGGGTCATCTTGCCTGAGAGGTCAGAAGCGCAACCATCTTCAGCTGCTTCTCTCCATCATAAGGTCAGAAGTGGGAATGTTCATCAATGATTGCACAATATTCAGCACCGTTCACAACTCCTCAGATACTGAAGCAGTCCACTTTTAACTATAACAAGATTTGGGCCAACAAGTAACATTTGCACCACATAACAGTCAATGACCAGCACCAGTAAGAGAACAATCTAACCACTGCCCTTTGACATTCAGTGGTGTCATCATCACTGAATCCCCCACTATCAACATCCTGGGATTACCACTGACCAGAAACCCAGATGTGACACATAAACAGTGACTACAAGAGCAGGTCAGAGATTGGAATACTCTGGCGAGTAACTCACCTCCTGACTGCCCAAAGCCTGTCCACCATCTACAAGGCACAAGCCAGGAATGTGATGGAATACTTGCCACTTGCCTGGATGGGTGCAGCCCCAACAACACTCAAGAAGCTCAACACCATCCAGGGCAAAGTAGCCCGCTTGATTGGCACCACATCCACAAACATCCACTCCCTCCACCACCGACGCTCAGTAGCAGCAGTGTGCAATATCTACAAGATGCACTGCAAAAATTCACCGAAGATCCTCAGACAGCATCTTCCAAACCCACAACCACTTCCATCTAGAAGGACAAGGGCAACAGAAACTTGGGGCCACCGTTTGCAATCTCCCCTCCAAGGCACTTGGAAATATATCGCCATTCCTTCACTGACGCTGGGTCAAAATCCTGGAATTCCGTCCTTAATGGCATTGTCAGGCAACTTACAGAATGTGGATCAAGAAGGCTCTAAGGGGCATCTTTTTCATGCAGAGGGTGGTGCATGTATGGAATGAGCTGCCAGAGGAAGTGGTGGAGGCTGATACAATTACAACATTTAAAAGGCATCTGGATGGGAATATGAATATGACGGGTATACCCTCTCAGCTCCAGATCATCTGCAAGCTGAACTCTTCAGACATTGCTTTTTCAAACAGTTGCTTTAAAAATGCAAAATTAAAAGATGCCCTACTTTCAAACTCCATCCAACATTCTGTGCCCTGTGCAAGTCAAACTTCGTTACTTTCGTTTCAAATCTGGACTTGGTCTCTATGAACTGCAACAGCAAATCAGCAATGAGGCTGCACCAGAGATTAATAAATAATTAGGATATCAGACAGCACGCCACCTACTTCTGCACTTTGAGTAACATTTCCCAATAATAAACAGCATTTTGCATAATTTGAGTTAGAGTACTTCTATTAGGTATTTGCCTTGCAGGTCCATATTGATCTGATAGTTTTCAGCTCCCTGAGGTTTCTGTGCAATTACATCAATCAGTCTGACTAAGCTGTGTGTAACCAGCCAAACCATCAATCAGAGAGAAATGCTAATCATTGTATGAATGGGGAACACGGCTTAGCCATTCAGTCATTGCAATGCATCAGTTCAAATAACTTAATGAACATAATGCTCCCAAAAGGAAAGGATTTTCTCAAAGTGAGTCAGTCACACAGGTCTGGAATGGGTTCTGAGTTAATTTGCAAAGAAAGTTCGAACTTTCCAAGGAATTTCTGCCTCCTTTTATAATTGGAGAAAATTCCCAATTAATTCCACGAAAACGTTACAGTTACAGAAGTGAAGATGGTGTGGTATAGATTTGTACAAAGCGTAAAAGATTGCATTGCAAATTGGATAGAGATAGGGAAATCCAGTAACAGTCCTGCCTCATGTTGGATTGCAGGCCCCACACTTGTGAACTCAGTGGTGAAAGATTTGCTGGGACTGTCGCTGGTCCCATCAGCGAGGCACAGCACACACCCGGTGAGGTTTCGGGTTGGTGACTAAGCCTATTCTCGGGCTGGTATCCAGGTCCGTCACACCTGGTGGAGCCTGGAAATGGAACTTCTGCAGCAGGGTGGTGAAGAACAGGAAAAGCTCCACTTTAGCCAAAGCCTCACCAGCGCACACCCTCCGACCTGAAAAAGAACAGGGCACCGTCAGTACCTCACCAACACACACGGTCCATTCACAGACCACCATCTTCCAAACGCCTATCTCTGAAACCATCCCAGTGGTCACCAACGGCAAGCAATTTCGTTCACAGCATTTGTGTCTCTCCATCCCCGTACAGACAGAACTCGATCAATTGGAAAACATTTGGCTCTTCAAGCTCTCTGCTCACTCAGTAACATCCTGGCTGATCTGCTCCCTACACTCCACCATGCCACACCTACCCCATAACTTAAACAGTAATTTAATTAGGATCCAAAACTCGGTCCTGAATCTACTCAATGACTGAACATCCACAGGTCGCTCAGGGTAGAGAATTCCAAAGACTCACACCACTCTGAGTCCTTAACCCTGTCCCAAACAGACACACCTTTACTGTGAGGCTATGACTAGTTCTAGAAACAATCTCCCAGCACGTCCTCTGTCCTGGGCCTGAAGAATTCTCAATATTTCGATGAGATTACTGCTCATTCTTCTTGTCATGAAGGAATATAGCACCGAGCCTTCTCCATCCCTCCTCATTCCAGCAATCAGCTTAGTGACTCTCTCTAAGGTAACTTTACCCTTCCTTGGGTAAACAGACAAAGACTGTGCATAGGTGTGGTCTCACCAAGCCCCAGTGTGATCGCAGGACCTGTGGTACATCCTTAGTTGAATTAATTGACATTAATGGTTATAGCATTCTTGTTTTGCATTCCTTTTCTTTATTCACTCATGGGACATGGGCATCGCTGGCTTGTTTCAGCATTTATTGTCCGTCCCTAGTTGCCTTTTGAAAAGGTGGTAGTGAGCTGCCTTCTTGAACTGCTGCAGTCCCTCCAAGCCACTCACCGTCCTGACTGTAAGACAATAAGAAGTAAGAACTGGAGCCGACCATTTGGCCCCTCAAGACGTTTCTGCCCTTCAACCGGATTATGACTCATCCCACATTCTTCACATTCTTCCTGCCCTTTCCATATCCTCATTCCTTCAGTGTCACTGGGTCAAAATCATGGATTTCTCTCCCTAAAAGCACCTATCTACAGCACATGGACTGCAGCAGTTCAAGAAGGCAGCTCACCACCACCTTCTGAAGGGGGGCACCTAGGGACGGGCAATAAATGCTGGGCCCAGCCGGCGATGCCCACATCCCATGAACGAAGTAAGAAATGGGGCAGCTCAACTCATCGTGAAATTTTAGAGGTTGCTGCCAGGTCAGATCTAAGATTTTTCTCAACAGTAAGTTGTGTGTCTGTCTTCACAAAATTCCCATCAGCATCCAGGAAGTGAGCTGGGTTAAACTCATTTGGGTTTTCCCGTTGAGTTTTATCGTACAGCACCGAGGTCAGTAAAGGAATAACGTAGGTTCCCTGAAAAACACGGAAAGCAATTCTGAATGTGTCACTGTGCCTGATTTCAATGGAGAGTGAGTCATGCAGGATGTGTAAACCCAGTGTTGTACCTGGTCCTGTTAGTTTCACTGGACACTTCAGGTTATAATTGGCCCGACCTCGTTGTCAAATGTAATGTCTCACTCCCTCAATCAAAAATACACAATTCCTGATTCATTAATATCCAAATTGTCATTTGGCCTGCAGTGTGGCACATTGTCCTGCAATGGAGGCTACATAGATTAGTGCACAGGAACCTGCTGTTTGCAACAGAAAGATTGATTGTACACAGATTGTGCCTCTTTAACTCAATAAAATAGGTGACTTCCAATCTTCAGTTCACTCCTCAGGGTAATCCTTGACCAATCATAGTCAACTGGCTTCATTTAAAACTTAAATGGAGCTTGACAGTTAAGCACCAGTCATCATTAACTGGTGCTTTCGCCTTGGCCTCTGCTAATCAGAGTCTACTGGCCAACCAATCAGCACTCTCCTCTCATTCGTTAAAAATAATGTTACACTTTACATTTGCATTGTCCTGATCAGTGCATCAATGCAAGGTGCTCATAACAGGACTGAAGACTCGAGAGCACAGCTCTAAAGCTTTTTGCACACAAATGTGAGGTGAGATTTGAAATCAAACCTCTTCCCACAGTTAGTGCCTGGGATTGGAATGACATGTGGTGCAGGCAGGTCCAAATGAGGCATTGAAGAGGGCATTAGATGATTATTTAAATAGAAACAATGGTTTGTGGGAGAAAGGCAGATGTTTGTCTCTGTCACAATGCTAAAGAGAGCTAGTGCAGATGCGATGTGATGAATGGCCTCATTTTTCACTATCAGGTTGTGTGATGAAAATATTTAATGATGTTATTTTTTAGAAATACTCAACACTGAAATTCCCCTTTCTTTTAATTTGCTTCTCTTCAAATTCAAATCCTATTTTTATTCAGAAAGTACCACATTGTTATTATTGCAACAGTGGCACAAACTGTGAAATGTAAGCCGTTTTTAATCTCATACCTTTGAAATGAAATATTCTCTGAAATGCGTATCCTTGGTTGTCGAATGAGGTAGGTTCATGGGCATGATGTTGGCAAACCTCTGGATCTCATGAATTACAGCGTCGGTGTAGGGCATGTGTCTCTGGTCTCCTGTTCTTGGGAATCGACCAGCTCCTATAACCCGATCAATTTCATCTTGAACTTTCCCTGAAATAGACAAAAAAGCTAAAGAGCATGGCATGGAGGAGCAGCATAGAGAAACTGAAGCGTAGAACTTTGTCTTGTTCAACGACACAGAATGGGCACTGTCTGTTCTGTTGCCAGTACGTTCCCCTCCCAATATTTAGCTTCAAGTCCAACAGACATAAAAATCAAACTGATCCAAACACACAACTGATCTGATACCAACCACCGTGTGCTAACCTCCAAGGTAAACGTTATGGTTCACTAATGAGGACAATTTGTCAATATATTTAAAATAATTCAGTGGCAACATGGTAAATATTAATATTTATGACCCTCGAGAAGAATTCAGTTGAAAGTGCTTATTTGTTGAGCCTAAATTTCCACATAATAAGTGCTGGACAGGAAACTTGACACGGACAGGATGATCCCAGGAGGAGCATTTTAGGGCCATTCCCCAAAATACCCCATACAGAGGTCAAAGATTTCAGGTTCATGACAGTTCCTGGCCTGTGAGTGGAGAAAATATTGCCCAAAGGCCCTGAATTGTTCTTTTATCGCCAATATTGCAAGCACTTCTGAACCAATGGCATCAAGATCAAAACTTTTAAAAAAGTCACTCTGAGCTGCCCCCTCCTCTCTGCAGAGACCTGTTTATCGGAATAACTGTTCACTTCAATCTACACAAATCCTTATTGCCGTCAGTCCAATTCAGAATCAGACACTGATCCAAGTGAATCAGACGGACAGCAGGTTGGTCAGTTCTGTTGGATTCCTGATGTATCTGAGGGAGTCTTTGTCTCTCTGACAGAGAGCAAGAGATTCCTTTGTCAGAACTCCAATCGTTCGAGGCTTATCAATGTTCTGTCTTCTCATTCATTGCTATTGGTTCCCCTTGACCACAACAATTTACAAGATTGGAGAGTTCACTGTGCAGCTATTGGGGTGTTTGCTGGGTTTAAGCTAAGGCAAATTGGGACAAGTTGAATAATTCTCAAAACAAGTCTGTGTAGATCCAGGTGTGGAGCTCAGTGCAGAACTAAAAGGCTCCACCCAATAGGATCAGTGTGTAGGTGCAGGAGTATGTCTGTAAAACAATATGCACCTCACAGCGATGACCAGCCTGCACTGTGCCACACTGTAAACAGGTTACGGCTCTCCTGTCCTTGTAGCATTTTCTCTGGTGCTTAAAAATTTTCTTGCATTCTCAATCCAGGGCAGAGATCAAATACAGATTTTAAAACGTAGATTTAGGAGAAGTGTCAATACTGATTTTGCCTCTTTATGAATGTCGCACTGGGCACCGTCCTGGAATCTGCAATGAAAGTTGTCTTCTCCAGACCCGGAGCTGTCAGCTTGGGCTCAAGCTCAGAAAGACGCCACTTTCTGGCTCGCTAATGATCAGCTCTTTCTGATATCAGCCAACGGAGGGGTTTCTGATTAAGGTGGCCAATATGGTGATGACCCTAGAGCTGTGTCAGCACAGGAACAGGCCCTTCGGCCCATCATGTCTGCGCTGACACATGACGTCTTTCTAAACGAAAAATTTTTTATCTCTGCGCAGTCCATATCCCTCTATTCCCTGCTATTCATATTTGTGAAGATGTTTTTTAAACATTCCTGTTGTATCTGCCTCCTCAACTTTCCCTGGCAGCGTATTCCAGGCACTTATTACCCACTGTGGAAAAATAACTTGTCTCTCACATCTCCTTTAAACTTACCCCCTTTTACCTTAAAACTATGACCCCGAGTAATTGTCATTTTGAACCAAAGAAAAAGACTCCAACTATCCATTCTATCCTTGCCACTGATAATTTTGTAAACTTCTGTCAAGTTGCCCCTCATCCTTCGACATTCAAGTGAAAACAAATGAGTTTATCCCCTTTCTCCTCATGGCTAATGCCCGCTGCACCAGGCAACGTCCTTATAAACCATCTCTGTACCTTCTCCAAAGCCTTCACATCCTTCTAGCAGTGTGAGGACCAGAACTGTACACAATATTCCAAATGTGGCCGAACTAAAGTTCTGTAAAGCTGCAACAGGACAGACCAATTATTCAAACTCCATCCCAGACCGATGAATAAATCATGGCAGAGGCATTCTTGACCACCCTATCCCCTTGTGTTTCCATTTTCGGGGAATTGTGGACCTCTACACCTCGATCCCTCTCTGTGTTGATGTTACTAAGAGTTCTGCCATTTCCTGTGCAGCTCCCTCCTGCATTAGATCTCCCAAAACGCATCACCTTGCATTTGTCCAGACTAAACTCCATCTGCCATCTCCAGCCTGCCTGTATTGTCTGGCAATCCCCCTCACTATCTGCAGCTCCCCCAATCTTTGTGTTACCTGCAAACTTATCAATCAGGCAACATCCAAATTCTCCTCCATATCACTTTCATCCATTACAAAGCAACAATATGTATTACAATCAGATACCAACTTAGACACAAGCACCAAACTAACAAAGACAACGTGAAGGATTCCTTACTCTGAATTTCTGGATAGTTTATCATGAGAACGAGTCCCCAGCAAATGGTAGTGGAGGTCGTTTCTGTGCCAGCTGCAAACAGGTCATTGATTGTAACCAGGATATCCTTTTCCTTAATCTCTATATCTTGACTTCCTAATTCCTTCAAGACAAAACAAAGCAGAATGTGTTGCCTTCTTCAGGAAAACATCCAGCTCCGTAAATTTCTGGATGGGGGACTGGGATAGTGACTCTTTGGCCTCTGGTGGTGAATGTCACGATGACATGACATACTTTGCAGGTGGAATATAATACAGAGAAATGGGAGGTTGCGCATTTTGGCAGCAAGGATAGAGGAGTCGAATGTTATTTAAATGGAGAAAGGGTGCAGAAAGCTACAGAACAGAGGGATTAGGGAGTCCTTGTCCATGAATCACAGAAATAGCGAGCACGCAAGCTCAGTTTGAAGGCAACAGAACAGAAGTTGCTGGAAAAGCTCAGCAGGTCCGGCAGCATCTGTGAAGGTAAAAACAGAGTTAACGTTTTGGGTCCAGTGACCCTTCCTCAGAACTGATGGTGGCTGGGAAAACGTCAGTTTATATGCAGAAGAAAGGAAGGAGGGGGTTGGGGTAGGGAGTAAATGATAGGATAGTGCCTAAAGAGAGGGAAGAGCAGTTGGACAAAGAATTGATAATGATCAGGCTGGGAGGGTGAACTATTGTTAATGGGGACTGTTAGCAACTAATAACAGGCAGCCCTCTGGACTCAATATTCAGTTCAATAATTTTAGGGCCTAAACTCTCCCATGTCCCAGCCCCCCCACCCCACACACCAGGCCTTGTTACCACATGATGAAGGGTCTAGGCCTGAAACGTCAGCCTTCCCGCTCCTATGATGCTGCTTGGCCTGCTGTGTTCATCTGGCTCTACACCTTGTTATCTCTTGTTACCACATAGCTTGCCATTACACACCCCTGTTATTAGTCACTAACAGTCTCCATTAACAACTATTCACCCTCCCAGCCTGATGGTTAGCAACTCCTTTGTCTGTCCAACTGTCTTTCTCTCTCTTTGGGCTCTATCCTATCGTTTACTCCCTACCCCACCCACCTCCCTATTTTCTGCATATAAACTGAAGTTTTCCCAGCCACCATTTGAGGAAGGGTCACCAGATCCGAAACGTTAACTCTGTTTTTTTCTTCACAGATGCTGCCGGACCTGCTGAGCTTATCCAGCAACTTCTGTTTTTGTTCCTGATTTACAGCATCCACAGTTCTTTCGTTTTTTTATTCAGTGTGAAGGCAAATGGAATGTCGGCCTTTGTTACAAAGGGAATGCAATATAAAAGTCGGGAGGTTTTGCTAAAACTGTACAAGGCACTAGTCCCACTTCAATTTATTCACAGGAGTGAGTGGGTATCGCAGCTGGGGCAGCATTTATTGCATGTCAACCACATTGCTGTGGGTCTGGAGTCACATGCAGGCCAGACCAGGTAAGGATGGCAGTTTCCTTCCCTGAAGGACATTAGTGAACCACATGGGTTTTTCTGACAATTGACAATGGACTTTTAAAAAAAAAACTGAATTCCATTTAATTCAAATTCCACCATCTGCCATGGCAGGATTTGAATCTGGGTCCCCAGACCGTTACCTGGATCTCTGGGTTACTGGTGTCAAATAATACCATTAGGGCATCATCTCCCCTCTTCTAAGGACAAATATATTGACATCCGATGTAATCTGGGGAGGGTTTCTGGGCTGATACCATGTGTGCAGGTATGAGGAGAGGTTGAGTAGATTAGGCCTGTACTCAATGGAACATAGAAGAATGAGAGGCAGCTTTATTGAAATATACAAGAAATTTAAGGGACTTGAAGGGTTGATGTAGAAAGGCTGTTATTCCTTATGGAAGAGTCAAGGAGCAGAGGGCATGATGTCAGACTAAGAGGTCACATTTTTAAGACAGGGATATGGAGGAAGGAAGGTCTTCTCTCGGAGAGTAGTGAATCTGTGGAAATACTTTAACACAGGGAGCTGTTGAGGCTGGGTCATGAAGTATATTCAAGGCTGAGACAGACAGATTTGTAATCAGTAAAGGAATGAAGGGTTAGAGGGAAAAGGCAGGAACAGTGAAGTTGAGAATCCTCAGATTAGCCATGATCTCACTGAATGGTGGAGCAGACTGAATGGGCTGAATGGCCTATTTCTGCTCCTGTGCCTTGTGGTCTTCTAAATTCAAGCTGGGCTTCACAAATGTGAGCGCTCCAAAATGTCAGTACAGTTCTGAGGGAGTGCTGCACTGTCGGAGAGGTTGCCTTTCACAGTGAAATACTGAACCGAGGCCCAATTTGCCTTCTCGGGTGGAGATGAGGGAACATGTGGCATGGTTTGAGGAAGTGCAGCTGAGGGATTTCCGGTGTCCTAGCCAATAGTTAGACTCTGACGGAGAAAGAGAGCCTGGTCACTATCGCGATTGTGTCCATGGGCACGGCCTGGGAGAGGGGGACACAGAGGCTCTGATCACTGGGGCCTATGTCCTTGGGTGGGGCCCAGGGACACTCTGGATAATCGGTGTCCAAACAGCTGATCTGCTGTGGAGAGCAGCCAGTCGGCCCTTTGTTTTGAAGAATTGAGTTGAGTAGGAAGTGCCAGATTGCACAATCTCTCCTTTCGATCTTTCCCCGTGTGGTGACTCTCGGTGGAGGCCGGGAGAGCTCCTGCTCGATCAATAGACAAACGACCCCCCCACCCCAAACCCAAACCCGGCTTCCAAATCTACCTCCTGGAAATGTGAAGAAATATCGCTCACTCACAGTCAGGAGTTGGGGACAGTAAACGGCAGAAATCTGAAGGTGGAACAAAAGGTTGAGAAGCCCTTTAAAGCAACTTAACAGCTTTTGTTGGACAGAGTAAGTAAGTCAGGAAGTTGATCCACACCTTTCTGTATATACACACATATATAAAAAACTAGTGAGGCCTCAGCTGGAGTATTGCATCCAGTTCTGGTGCCACACTTTAGGGAAAATATCGATGCGAGGGAATGGGCTGCTGGAAATCATGAATGGGTTTGACTGGATGAATCTGGAGAAAGTGATTGCAGCAGCAGGGAGAGTCAGGAACAAGTACAGTCAGAGGGGACAGCAAGGAACATTATGCTGCAATGAGATGCTGAGTGATCTGATACAGATACAAAGCAACGTTCACACGAGGGTCAGGTAAATACCTGAAGGGAAACAAGTGATAGGACAGTGAGGAAAGGATAGGGGAGTGGGACAGCTCTACCTGGGAACAGTCATTGATACGATGGGCCGAAGGACCTCCTCCTCTGTTGTATCACCCTAACATTCTCTGAAGTAAAGTACTCTCTCTTGTCTGAATTTACCATTAGGCTTCAGTCTACTCTGGCAGCGCAGCAGTGATGGAGGGGCTGGTCTTAATGATTGTGAGGTTTAAATTCATTCGTCTCAAAGAGATTGATATCTCAGACAAAATGAGAAGTGTACAGCTCCAAAACACTGAACAACATTTCCAGGACATTACTCAGGGAAAATAACGCGTAAAATCACTAAAGACATCTCACCAATTATATTCTGATTCGACTTTCCATTTTGTTTTTTACAAGATTGAAACTCACACACCATCAATGCTATATGCTGGGCACAAACAGCATCCACATGATGTAATGAGCAATACACTTCAAAACATGATCAGATATAGCGAGTGCTTGAAGCTACACATTAATTGTTCTATCCAGTACCTAGGGGTAGCACTGCACGATACAATAACAGATGTTTAACACAGAACCTTCCGAATCTCAAAACCAACATCCTGATGCAGAGTCTGAAACCTGTGGAGATTCCCCTTACTGCTGCAAAGGTGTGTCACTGTACCTGTTGGTGTCTCATAATTAAGGCCTCGCAGAATGTCTGGATGCTGATTTCGCTCAACGTCTCTTTGGCAGCTTTGAAGAATCCTTCAAAGATTTCGTGCATCTTCACTTGATTTTCAATAATCTTCTGGCGACCCGGAATCAGAAATCCCAGTGATGGGTAAGCGTTGTACAGCTGGATTGGAGCAGGAACATAAGAACACGTTCAGGCCTTCAGTGGGTCAGTGATTGCTTGTCCATCACCAATGTGGGTGACCTGTAACTTTCAGTGATGCTTCATGGGAGATAGGAGATTGTCATGGCAACACTGCATTTCCTCCTCTCCCCTCTGTGCCCCCAACCCCAGCCACAAACCGTCCAAATTTATTTATTTTTATTTTGAGTGCTTTGGTTATAGTCTAGAATGGGTGACCTATTCACTAGCATCTATTAATCACGGATTCCTAAAATCAGATCCAGGTCAGGCCAAGGAAGGACTACAAATTTCCTCCAAAGGAGTGGACAAGGTGGGCTTTTCTTTACAACTGCATTCATGTTTATGCTCTTAATTCCAGAGTTTTATTGTTAAAATCAAATTGAAATTCTGCCATTCACCACAGCGGGATTTGAACCCAGGTCCCCAGGCTGAAGACACTTGCAACATTTTTCCCTCAATGTGGGAAGCTGTGGTAATCATGTCCCTCGAAAGCTTGACCAACCACCACCCCACCCCATCCCACCCCCCCGCCACTTCCCTATCAAGAGTCAGGGAGAATGATTCCAGTTCGAGGAATCTTTCTGTGATTCTATAAAATGCCACACGTCCTTCATCACCCCACGTTAATTTCGTCAATTCTAAAGTAGGGTCATTGTGCCCAAAATTTTCTCTCTACAGATGCTACCAAACCTCCTGGGTCTTTCCAGCAATTTCCCAGTCAGTTCCTGATTGCCAGCAGTTCTTTGCTTTTTTTTAGGAAAACTTCTTCAATATTTATTTTATCACAGAAAATTTACACACTACAATTTAACTCATGTAAGCCCCTCTCGCATATCAGCATTTATGACTGAGACACAATGTTGAGAACACTCTCGAACCTGTAACATGTCAGGTGTGGAAATCAGCCAGAGTACAATACCATAAAAAGATAATTACATGTAATGGAGCTGTTCCAATCAGTCTCGTGTTCTCATTCATCATGTTTGTCAGATGGACGAACACTTCATTGTTATAATCAAAACGGTCTCCAAACATGATAGAACAGATAATATTGCTCACGGCTAAATACATAATCTGTGCCGTTTCAAAAGGCTGACCTGTGAATAAACACAGAATTCAATTACAAAACAGGCTGTAAATAGCAGGAATATTAAAATCATTGCCGTCTTTGACAAAGCACAAGTTATTAATATCAAACAAAAAGCTGTGGAGGCTGGAAATCTGAAACGAAAATAGAAATTGCTGGAGAAACTCAGCAGGTGTGGCAGCATCCGTGGAGAGAATGCAGAGTTTGCGTTTTAACAAAGCACAGTGCAGCACAGCAACAGGCTCTTCAGACATCAAGCCTGTGCTGACGCATGAAGCCTTACTGAACTAAAAATCTTCTTCCTCCGCATGCTCCATGTCTCTCGATTCCCTGCCTTGTCATGAATCTGTCAAAATCTCTCTTAAATGTTGCTGCTCTGAAGAAGGGGACTTGAAAAGTTAACTCTGCTTTCTCTCCCACAGATCGACCAACCTGCTGAGTTTCATCAGGATTGGGAAAAATGAATTAATCAGGAAGCAAGATGTTGCCATTGTACTTTTTAATGAGTCATAGATTCATAGAGATGTGCAGCACGGAAACAGACTCTTCGGTCCAACTTGTCCATGCCGACCAGATATCTGAAACTAATCTAATCCCATTTGCCAGTATTTGGCCCATATCTCTCTGAACCCTCCCTATTCATACACCCATCCAAATGCCTTTTAAATGTTGTAACTGTGCCAGCCTCCACCACATCCTCTGGCAGCTCATTCCATACTCGCGTGAGAAGGCTGCCCCTTAGGTCCCTTTTAAATCTTTCCCCTCTCACCTTAAACCTATGCCCTCTAGTTTTGGACTCCGCTACCCTACAGGAAAGACTTTGGCTATTCATCCTCTCTATGCCCCTCACGATTTTATAAACTTTTATAAGGTCACCCCTCAGCCTCCGATGCTCCAGGGAAAATAGCCCCAGCCTACTCAACCTCTCCCTATAGCTCAAACCCTCCAACTCTGGCAATATCCATGTAAATCTTTTCTGAACACTTTCAGGTTTCACAACATCCTTCCTATAGCAGAGAGACCAGAATTAAACACAATCCAAAAGTGGCCTAACCAATGTCCTGTACAGCCACAACATGACCTCCCAACTCCTACACTCAATGCACTGACCAATGACGACAAGTGTACAAAACACTTTGTTTACCATCCTGTCTACCTGTGACTCCAATTTCAAGGAACTATGAACTTGCACTCCAAGGTCTCTTTCTTTGGCAACACTCCCCAGGACCTTACCATTAAGATGTTGTGAAACCTGAAAGTGTTCAGAAAAGATTTACAAGGATGTTGCCAGAGTTGGAGGATTTGAGCGTTTTAAGACATCCAGCACCTCCTCCTCTTTTTCAAGATGTTGCTATTTATTTCCCCATGTTCTATATCTTCCATATCCTTCTCCACAGTAAACACTGATGCAAAATAGTTGTTTAGTATCTCACTCATCTCCTGTGGTTCCACATGTAGGCAGCCTTGCTGATCTTTAAGGGGCCCTTTTCTCTCCCTAGTAAGCCTTTTGTCTTTAAAGTATCTGTAGAATCTCTTTGGATTCTTCTTCACCCTATTGCCAAAGCTATCTCATGTCCCCTTTTTGCCCTCCTGATTTCCCTATTAAGTATACTCCTACTGCCTTTATAGTCTTCCACGGATGCACTTGATCTTTGCTCTCTGTACCTGACATATGCTTCCTTCTTTCTCTTGATCAAAGCCTCAATTTTTCTAGAGACCAGCATTCCCTACACCTACCAGCCTTGCCCTTCATCCTAATAGGAACATACTGTCTCTGGACTGCTGTTATCTCATTTTTGAAGGCTTCCCACTTGCCAGCCATCCCTTTATCTGTGAATGTCTGCCCTGATCAATATTTGAAAGGTCTCACCTAATACCATTGAAATTGGTCCTCCTCCAATTTAGAACTTTAACTTTTAGATCCAGTCTATCCATTTCCATCACTATTTTGAAATTAATAAAGTTATGATCACTGGCCCCAAAGTGCTCCCCCACAGACAACTCAGTCCCCTTCCCTGCTGTATTTCCCAAGAGAAGAGCAAGTTTTGCTCCTTTTCTCGTAGGTACATCCACATACTGAAACAGCAAATTTTTTGTACACACTTAACAAATTCGTCTCCATGCAAGACCTTAACACAATGGCAGTCCCAGTCTACGAAAAGTTAAAATCGCCTACCATAACCACCCTATTATTCTTACAGATAACTGAGATCTCCTTACAAATTTGCTTCCTAATTTCCCGCTGACTATTGGGGAGGTTTATAGTGCAATCCTAAGAAGGTGATTGTCCCTTTCTTACTTCTCAGTTCCACCCAAATAACTTCTCTGGATGTATTCCCAGGGATATCTTTCCTAAGTATATCTGTAATATCATCCCTAATCAAAAACGCCACTACTCCTCCTCTCTTGCCTCTCCCCCCTTATCTCTTGCGTCCCTTTCTATCTTTCCTATAGCATTTATACCCTGGAACATTAAGCTGCCAGTCCTGTCCATCCCTGAGCCAAGTTTCTGTGATTGCTATGCTATCCCAGTCCCATGTTCCCAACCATGACTTGAGTTCATCTACCTTACCTGTTATGCCTCTTGAATTGAAATAAATGCATTTTAATTTACCAGTCCTACCTCATTCTCTGCTTTGTTCCTGCCTGCCCTGACTGTTTGACTTACTCCTTTTCCCAACTGCGTCAGTCTTTGACTGATCTCTTTTCTCACTGTCTCCCTGGGTCCCACCACCCTGGCATCCCCCACCTCCCTTACTAGTTTAAATCCCTCTGAGCAGGTCTAGCGAATGTCCCCGCCAGTATATTAGACCCCTTCTAATTCAGGTGCAATCCATCCTTCTTATGTAGGTCCCTTCTATCCAAGAAAAAAATGTGGGCATTGCTGGCAAGGCAGCATTTATTGCCCAGAGGGCAGTTCAGAGTCAACCACATTGCTGTAGGTCTGGAGTCACATGTAGGCCAGACCAGGTAAGGATGGCAGTTTCCTTTTCTAAAGGACGTTAGTGAACCAGATGGATTTTTCCAACAACTGACAATGGATTCATGGTCATCATTAGATTCTTAATTCCAGATATCTATTGAATTCAAATTCCACCATCTGCCTTGGCAGGATTTGAACCCAGGTCCCCAGAACATTACCAGGGTCTCTGGATTAACAGTCCAGCAATAATACCACTAGGCCGTCACCTCCACGGATCATTGCAATGATCCAAAAATGTGAATCCTTCTCCCCTGCACCAGCTCCTCAGCTGCACACTCATCTGCTCTATCCTCCTATTCCTACCCTCATTAGCTCATGGCACCGGGAGTAATCCCAATATTACTACTCTCGAGGCCTTATTGTTTAGTTTCCTGCCTAATTTGCTATGTTCTTATCTCAGAACCACATCCTTTTCTTATCCTATGTCATTAGTTCCAATGTGTACGTGGACCTCCTGCTGGTCCCTCTCCCATTTGAGAACATTCTGCACCCTCTCTGAGACATCCTTGATCCTTGTACCAGGGAGGCACCACACCCTTGTGATGTCTTGCTGTCGCTGACTTTGCCTCTGAGTAGAGAGTCCCTCATCACAATTGATCGCTTGGAACCTGACGGACACCCTCTTTACATTAGAGCCAGTCTCAGTACCAGAAACTCGGTGCTACATTACCCCGAGAGTCCATCACCCCCGATATTTTCCAAAGCAGCATATTTCTTTGAGATGGGAATAGCCACAGGAGAATCCTGCACTACCTGCCCACCCCTCCTACCTTCCTCGATGTAACCCATCTACCTGACTATATCTGCAGTTTTTCTCATTTCCTGAAACTGCCATCCATCACACGCCCCTAGCTCCCTCATTGGCTCTAACTGCAGCGACAACCGATCCATGCGATCCAATAGGATTTGCAACCAAACACAGTTCCTGCAGACATAATCATCAGTAAAATGGAAACTCTCCCCAATCTCCTACATCCAACCGGAAGAGCACGTCACTCGACGAAAGGCCACCTTGCAGCTTTACATTCTACAGACTCAGAAAATAGCACAGTCTTACAGTTCTAAAAACACTGCTCCAGGATATCTTAGTACCCATGTTTTATATTTTTAAAGTTTAATCAAGAGACAGGTCTCAATAAAAACATACAATAAAAGAAAACACTCCACACACTATTGTAGACTTGCAAAAACAAAAAAAAACAGGATGTTTAAACTCTAAAGCTTGCAACTTAGCTGCTCCCCGTCTGTGAGGATGAACAAAGATTCATCCAAGGTCAGCTGTGAATTTCACCATTTGTTTACTTTTATTTACAATAAACTCTGATGTCCAGATATACTTGTTACCAGACAGCACAGGCAGACAAACATGCACTGTCACCGCTGGGTCACAGGGCCGTGCACCGTCACCGCTGGGTCACAG